AGGGAGGTGGGGAGGGGGGCGTGTCACAGGGCCGGCAGTGCGGAGGACGTTGGGGTGGGGCTAGACACGCAAGATACAGGTCAGGTCTCGAGACTTATTTCCCCCCTGCATTCTGACCTTTCAGTTCCCGGTAGGAGATGATGTTCCACCCCTCCGTCCTTGCTACCCATCCCATAACTTGAAATGACAAGTTTCGTGGAACCAGGTGTGGAATGTTAACAGGTCTTCTGGGGGGAGTTTATTTTTCAGTAAGGACATAGAGGGGGAGGGCTGGTCTTCGACACCGCATCAAAGTGTCCTAAATCATTAAATTTTTAAACTGTTATATTAGTAGAAATAAGGAGTTCGGGTCCCCCCCCCCACACACACACAGAAGCAACTAAAATGTATTAGCTTGCTCAAGTTTACAGAAAACATATAAGATAATCATAGTACTATAGAATAAAGATGAATAAAGATTAAATAATTAAATATTTGCTAACACCACACATGGAGCTAAGATAATCTTACAACAAATTCCCAGCTGGAGTTGCTTTTGGGCCCAGAGTTAATTTTACAACTTATACTGGGAGAAGATATTAAAAATCTTCAGTGTGCCCTTATGCACAGGCTTCTTGTAGGATTTTTCTTAATTAATAAGAAACAATTGTCCTTTAAATAAGAATTTGATTCTGTGATAGGGGCAGAGATTGTTAACGGAGGGTTTTTTGTTTTTGGTCTAATGTAATAGTTTGAGCCAGTGGGCTTCTTTCGCTGACATTGGCATGGGGGCCGAGGTTACTGGGCGGGACCCTCCGAGGTCAAAGACTCTCCAGGAAGAGTCAGAGGACACATCTTTCAGGGTGTTGCAGTGATAGGGAGGTGACACGTGACAGTGACACACAGATGATGTCACTGGCCACGTGCTTCTCTGTAGCAGGTGGTGGTCAAACACCCAGTCCCGGGATGAATGCGCCCTCTGCCGCTGATACACAGGGACTGAAAGCTCTGCTCACCTCTGAAGTATATTCCCCTGGTGCACTCGCCAAGCAAAAGGCTTTGTGATCCATCTTAATGCACATTTCCATGAGGAAGATCATTTATTCTTGAACCGAAATTAGACATATATTTGCCCTACATCTACTTATCTGGTGTTAAAAAAAGGGCGTTATACTAGATGTTGTATAGGTAATTTACAGAATACAGGTACTTGAATTCCTCTAATAGCCTCCTGGTACTTCACACAGCAGCTCTTGAGCATTAAAGAGACCAGATTATATATCCTATCCTGACTGCTTTCAATCTCAGCCAAACTGTGTGGGAAGCTCAAGTTTCAGACTGAATGAGTGTGAAGTTGTAAAATGCTTAAAACCAGGGCTACGGGCGGCACTTCACAGGATCACTGGAGCAGTATGCACACTGGGTCCTGAGAGGCGGCGACGGTTGGAAATGCCGGCATGTTTCAGTTGTTTCTGTCGAAAACAGCACTTTTCCAAAAGATTTAATGCAGTATTTAGGGTGATAGGCTTCCCCTGGTGTGGTGGAGGCGGGCCATTTAAATGCCTTGCCAGCTCACTTGTTCAATAATGGCTTCTCACTTACAAGCACAGGACAGCCAGTGACGTGGAACTCCTGAGTTTCCTCCTCCGCACCATCGAGATAAAGTGAAAGTAAACAGGCTTGGAAAATTACTAGTGTTCCTCTGGAGGCACATGAAGGAGGGGGCAGGAAATCTGCTGCATCTCGTTTTTTCTTGGCGTTGCCTGTACTGTCTGCAGCGGAGGTCCCAGAAAGGGGGTTCTGCAGGACCCTCTTAGGGCCCGAAGTTATAATTGGCTTTTCCGCTTCTGCTTGCTCTAAAAGGCATAGGCATTTGAAAGGGCTTTGTGATCCATCTTAACGTACATTTCCATGAGGAAGATAGTTTATTCTTGAACTGAAATTAGACATTTATTTGCCCTGCATCTACTTATCTGAAGTAGTTACATGCTTTTCCTGAGAGGAACCAGGACATTTCCTATAGTGCTCTTCCTGCCTTTGGATTTAAATAATTTTATCAGCATTTTTCTGTTGGGAAAATTTAATTTTGAACAGCAGTGATAAGCCATCTTAGAGAGGAGATTAGATTTTTTTTCCTACTTTGTAACAGGGTTTAAATGCAAACATCTCTATTTCTGGTTCTTGAAAACAAAACAAAGGCCGAGCAAAATCAGTACAAACTGCTGATTTCAGCGTTCACCTCAATTTCTTTCAGGACTCTTGTTCTCAAGGTCAGCGGCTTGCTCATTCCCAGTGGACGCAACTGCTCGTGGGTAATGACGTTTTACACGGCAAGTTTCAAAGGCCGGAGCCTCTGGAGAAAAAGGTTTGACAAATTTTTTTCACTGCTGTATTTCAGGGGCAAAGAACAAAGCCTGCCCGGCTCATAACGAATTGCTTGGTAAATATTTGCTGCCTAACTGGGAAGAGAAGTATTTTACCGATGCAGAACTACGCTGTGCTCACGTACTTTCAAAACCATGTACCAATAACTGCCACTTTCAACACTTTGAGGTTAGCATTTTTTACTCAGAGATTTAACTACTTTTTTTTCTGAGAAGGAAACATGTATAGGAGGAGATACACACACACAAACACACATACACACACATATATATACACACATATGTAACTAATTTTTTTGAGAAGGAAACAACATGTATATGAGGAGATGTAGACATATACATATATGAAAACAAATTCAACTTCTTTGCCCACTAATCTCAGGGTTATTTTCTAAATACTTATTAAATGACTGAAATATAAGACAAAGCATATATAGTTACAAGGAAGACCATGCTGAGATAAATGGATGCCGCCTTCAAGATGTGCATGGCCAATCTAACAGGGTTCCAGACAAGCATGTGTTCATACACATTACGGAGAGGAAGCCATGGAGGAGGGGGATCGAGTAGCCGAAGTCCCAAGGTGGCCTCCAAGGAGGGAAGGGACTGACTGTGTCAAATGCATCTCTAGCCTCGTTGCCTGGCGGAGCAGATAGGTACTTTCGCTATTCCTGTTTGTTGAACGAATGAATAAAGAACTTCTCTGGGGCTGGGTGAAAAAGGTGAAGGGATTAAAAAACAAAGAACAAAAACCTAACCAAACAAACAAAATAAACACAAACAAGGAAAAAAAACGCTTATAAACACAGACAACAGTATGATGATTGTTGGAGGGAAGAGCATGGAAGGAGGTAGAAGAGGGTGAAGGGGGAATAAATGGTGATGGAAAGAGACCTGCCTTGGAGTGGTGAACACACCCCGATATACAGATGATACAACATACAGACGATGTATTATAGAACTGTACATTTGAAAACTATGTAGCGTTATTAACCAGCGGCACCCCAATAAATCCAGTAAAAAAGAAAAAACAATTCTCTCTTCCTCATAATTGAGCCGGAGTCTTTGAGTTTAAAATAAAGAAGAAAAAAACTCCCTCGAAACAGATACACAGTATGGTGTCCAGGGGATCAGAGGAAGAGACCATGTAAATCAGCAAGGCTGAGAGAAATCAGAGGTCATGAAGGAGGCGTCTTGAAGAGCAGATGAAGAGCAGCCTTCCAGGCCCGAGGTTTGGAAGGGGAAGGGAACGTGGAGAGGCCGGCAGGAAGAGCTAAGTAGGCAGAAGCAGCTGCAACAAAGTGTGGTGGGAGATGAGGGTGGAAAAGCTTCAGCCTAGGAGTGAGGACAGCAGGCTTCTCAGGAGAGGAGTTTACTAGGTAGGCAAAGAGAAGCCGAGGTGCAGGGAGAGTCTTGATCAGGGAGATGAGGGGTACTGGGGCCATTAACCCACCGTGGTAGGAAGTTGGACAGAAGAAGATCTGAATAAAAAGGTAGTGAGACCACTCGTCTATTCTGGATGGACACAAAAGCCACAAGAATCTTATTTAGAAGCTGGCAGAGGGATTAAAAAAAATCCCAGAGACTTGAAAAACTGGAATGGAGAAGACAGGTGATTAATTAGACCCAGGGTTGGGGGGTGGCAAACTGGGGAGGAAAAAGGATAAGACTTCAGGGCCAAGCCTAAGTGACTGGGGACATGAAACAGTGTAACAGGAATAAGGAGAGCCACTTTTACTGGGGACGGGGATGAGGGAGTGAGATTGGATTTAAACAAGTTTTGGGTACAAAGATAGCCAACTGGGGATGTCCACAGGCAATTGAAAGCCTGGTGATGATTGTACAGCAGCTTGAGCAATGGATTTTTAAAAATGATTTATTTGAATAGGTTATATTACTGCCACATTTGGGCAAATGAAAATGAATTCTCCTTCCTACTGCTGGTTGCCTATTTCTTTCTCCAGAGGTAGCCACTGATTCATTTCTTATGATTCTCAAGATATTCTGTATGTATGTATATATACATATATACATGTTTTTATGTCCACAGGAGACTTTTGTATTTTTAATTTTTAAAGGCTGGAGAAGGCTTGTGTGCATTTGAGAGAGAAGGAAAAGAACAAGTAAAGGCAGAGATCAGAAAAACAATTAAAAAAGAATTACTCTCCTGGCTGGTGTTGCTCAGTGGGTTGAGCACCAACCTGCAAGAAAGGTCACCAGCTCAATTCCTGGTCAGGGCAGATGCCTGGATTGTGGGCCAGGTCCCCAGTAGGGGGCGTGCGAGGGATGTTTTTCTTACACATTGATGCTTCTCTCCCTCTCTTCCCTTCTCTCTAAAAATAAATAAAATGTTAAAAAATAAAAAGGAATTATTGAACCCAGGTCTTAAGAGAAGGTAACAGAGGACAGAGTCAGCGGCGGGCTAAGAAGGGCAGGCCGATGGCGACAGATTTCTGATGCTGCATCACTTAGATGGCCTGTCTCCTCCGCCTGGTGGCGGAGATGCATGAAGAGGTAGGTTGGTGGCTTCAGGAAGATGGTAGAAAAGTGTACAATGGCTGCTGTGGACACTAGAAAATACTATAGAATTGTCAGATGCAAAAATCAATCCAAAAAGGTTTATTTTGATGATTTATAAAAGAAATATCACCATTGCAAATTAAAGCCATTTACAAATTTAAAAAAATTTACAGAAGTTATTCACATCATATTACATTTAAGTTTTATTAAAATATTACAGGTAGTGTTAAACAAATACAACATAAACCAAGTTCTAAAACACACAAAAGCTCTCAAAGCACATTCAAAAGCTATTGGAAGATGGTCCAGGAAAAAGTGGAAAAATATGATTTCAGGAATCAGCAGAGAAATGATTCTCACCTTTACATTACAATTGGTCTCGGGAGATGTGGCCTTTAAAAGTCACTTAAACTTTAAACTGCAACCAGAATCTTGACTTTAAATTAAAAAAAAAATTCTGGTGTAGCTCATAGAACACAGGACTTAGAATTTATACTCTGATCGACTTGAAGATAGTTTTAATCAAGAATCATGTTGTTTGTGGTTAATTCACACTTCATTTTTGTAGGTTACATGCCAATCAATATTCCGGGGAGGGGAAAGTTTGAGGATTCATCAGAACCACGGCTATGAATCTCAATGCTCCTGTCGGCTCAGGGCTTTGTCTGCACATTAACAGCCCCCAGGAGAGGAACGCCATCCAAAGACCTGGCACTGACCCTGGTCTTGGCTGCTGCCTCTGGTGAATGCAGGGCACTGTCCCTGAAGCAGGAAGGGAATGCCCGGCAGCTGACTGGGCATGCTTCCCTCAGCCCAGCTGCCAGGCCACTTTATAGAAAGGCTGGCAGCTCCATGGAGATGCTGAAGTTTGAGACGTAAGGGTCAACGATTGCTGATGACAAATAATTTTTATGAGGAAAGTAGATAAAAATAGGTGTTTACCAAGACCTGAGATTTATTATCTAGTTTAATTAAGCAAAGGTATAGAGGAGTGCACTTCAGCTCATTCCTAAGTATGGCCCTTAAAATAACTAGAACTCCCCTACTTCACAGTGCCTGATTTGCAGCTGGGTACGTGACCCTAAAATAGAAGTTCCAGCATACGTGCTATTAGTAATTAAAAATAGATGATTTCACTAATCTGGCCACTAGTGACATGTCATGATTGTAATTCTTAAAAATTTAATACATATACATTTTTTTCTTGCACATAGAATGCTTACAACATTAAAATATCAAAGGCACTTTTAGGTTGCATGATAAACAAAAGTACATGAATAGAGACAGGATTAGTTATTGGTTCTTTCAGCTTCTGTGTCCACGGTGGTCATCGAGGGCCCAGTTCTGCACTTCACCTTTGGCAAAAAGTGTGAAGAAAATGGCACCAAATACATTAATAGCAGCAGCGATCCAGAAAACAGTTTGCCATTCTCTAATAGTGTTCTGTAGAGAAAGAAAAAATGCACATGAAATTTTTTTGTTTGTAGCCCACTTTATAAAACAAGGTGGTCACAAGACTGTTATAATAATAACATTACTCATAAAAGAAACAACCCCAATGTCCGTCACAGTGAGACTGTGATGTATTTGTTCAGTGAAATACTATACAGCAATGAGAACGAATGCACTACAACAACAAAGACACTTCTCACAAACACAATGTTAAGCAAAAGAAGCCAGACACAAATGAGTACATACGGAACACTTATATAAAGCTCAAAGTCAGAGAAAACTGATCTATGATGTTAAAAGTCAGGGTGTGGGAGCTCTTGGTGGGAAGGGGGACCTGAGGGCTTTGCAAGAGAGTTACATGTTCTGTTTGGGTGCTGGTTTAGGTGTATGTACCAACTTTGCAAAAATTTGTTCAGCAGTATACTTAGGATTCGTGTATTTTAAAAATACATGTTATACTTCAATAAAAAGTTTACTAAGACTAAAACATGAGGAATATCCTTGAGTCCTGTGTTACTAGGCAAGTATTATGCCTGCATATCATCTCCCAAGTTCTTAGGGGGGAAGGTCAGGCGCAGATCAAGTGAGGATGAACTGAGACCGACTTCAAGTTTGAGCCTGGCCTGAAAGATTCCACATGGCTCTCGCATGGCACACCATGTAAGACATGCACTGGATTTGTCACCAAGAGATCAATACAATGTAGTTGTTCAGTGTATAATCCACTGGTATAAAGGCATCAGACAGTTATTGAAACTTCTGGGTCATGTGACTAACTTTAACAATCATTTTTTTGATTTTTTTCAATTTCAGTCTTATCAGAGTACTACATTTGCAGCATTAAACAGACAAACAAACAGACAAAAACAAACCTAAATCCTTTAATTTAGGATTGGATTCTGCCAATCCCAGCAGCACTGGCAATGAGAAAGAAAAAGAAAAGGCAGTAGGAAGCTAGTGTGAGGTTATTTACTTAGGAAAAAAGGAAAAACATGAAGAAAGGAGCACTGTGTAGTTAAGTTATACTTACCTGAGATGAATGTATTTTAGGGAAAAAAATCTTAGCTATCCACCTTAAATTTTAGTAACTATTCAGATATGCTAACAACGCGTCACTATCCTGGAGGCGGGGTTAGTCAATAATGATATCACACACCAGAAAGAGACGTTCAACACAGCTTTGCAGGGTTCCTACGACAAAGCTTCCATCTGTGGGAGTTTTACAGAGTAAAATAGTGGCAGAGTGCTGGGAGCACCAGTAAGTGACAAGACCCCCTGGCAGCGTGTTGACTTTATTTTGTTGTTACATGTTCTGTGAAGATCAGGTTGGACCTTTCTGTGTCCACACGGAGACACAGAATCTCAGGACAAACCTCTTTCCCAACATACCTTTCTACTATGTGAGAGAACAGTAGCAAGGGGCGTTTAAGTCAGGGATTAGAAATGGCGGGAACGGAGAAGAAATAGGAACACCATCCGTGGTGAACACATACATGTCTGAAATCACGTACCTTCATACCAAACCAGTATGTTTGGTATTAAGAAAGTTTATTAGATCACAGAGACAAAACAAAGAGAAAATTAAGTCTTTTTTAGAGGTTTAAGTCAGCTTTTTTTTAAAAAGATTTTATTTATCTTTATTTTTAGACAGAGGGGAAGGGAAGGAGAACAAGAGGGAGAGAGATGTCAATGTGTGGTTGCCTCTAGAGCGCCCCACGCTGGGGACCTGACTCAAAACCCAGGCACATACCCTGACCGGGAGTTGAACCTGTGACCCTTTGGTTTGCAGGCCAGCGCTCAATCCCCTGAGCCACATCATAAGTCAGCTTCTTGAAGAAAAGAACCGGTCCTTTAGGTTTTTTAAGTAGTAGAAAACTGGAGTCGGAAAGGGCCTTTGAGGTCATTCATTTTGATCTCTTACACAAAGTAGGCAACCTTTTGCCTTGCAGCAACTCTGCTTACTGACCTGGCCCATGCTGCCAGCCACAGGCCGGAGAGATGCCTCCCGGCCCACACTGCTCCCCGGGGCTCGGCCCTTGCTTGGCCCAGACCGAGTGCAGTCCCCCCCACACCCCAGCTCCGTCCTCCAGGGCTTCGTCCACCCAAACTGGTTATTCACTGAGCACATTGTTTCTGCAGCATGTCATGCTGTACTTTATTTGAGTTCATATAATCTCTCAATGATGATTTTCTCAAGTACAGAAACTTGTTTGTCATTTTTTGCCTTTGAATCCTCAGTATTTGGCATATAAATAAGCACTCAAGAAATGCCTTTTGAATACGTGGTTGACTGCTTCAGGGCTCATTAATTCATAAGGCAGGCCATCCCATGGAGTATTAGCTTTAAACAAAAAACTTCCTATTGTCCCCTCATAGGTTCTCTCCACCTGTCTTTGTGAAACGGCTGAAAACAAGTCACCATCTTTCATCCGGTGGTCCTTCAAACATGCGAAGACACTTATCTGTCTTCCCAAGTCTTCTGCTCCTCAAAACGGTCTCCGTTATTTCAGCTGCTCCCTGTTCACTCTCACATGATTTTCTGACACCTACCTTCACGCACCCAATTCTGGAATAGTTATACACTACCAATTTTTATTCATTCAAATAAAGACACAGTCACTTCTCTGGTATAATATCACAACTTATAAGTACTTGTGTAGCTTAGGCTACGAGATCTTTGTTTAACTTAGTTCTATTGTTCTGTCTAAAATCCAAAGTGCGTTCTTTGAAAATATACATTCCTACCCATTAAGATATTTACTGTTTGGCCCTGGCTGGTGTAGCTCAGTGGATTGAGCTCAAGCCTGCGACCCAGAGTATCGCAGTTTGATTCCCAGTCAGGGCACATGCCTGGGCCGTAGGCCAGTTCCCGGCAGGGGACATATGAGAGGCAACCACACATTGATGTTTCTCTCCCTCTCTCCTTCCCTTCCCCTCTAAAGATAAATAAATAAAATCTTAAAAAAAGATATTTACTGTTTGTTGCTATATGGAATTGCATAAGAATAAACATTAAGAATTTTGCCCTTAATTAAAATATACTTAACTTTGACACAGATGTTTAGCTTCCAGGGCACTGTTCAGATCTTTTCAGTTTATAAGTTAATGACCTACTTACCTCAGGGGTCAGACTTTTAGCAATGACAGGCCCGACCATTCCTGGAATAGTGGCAAATGTATTTGTGATCCCCAAGAGGATACCGGCAAACCTGCAGAAACATTTGCACAGATGTTTATGTTGTGCTACACATTTAGGTAGCTTTTTTCAATAGCTTAGCTATACCACTTCCAGGCTGCATCCTTTTCTTTAAAAAAATTTTTAATTTATTTTTAGAGAGAGGAGAAGGGAGGGAGAGAAACACTGACGTGAGAGAGAAATATTGATCATCACCTCTTGGACATGCCCAACCAAGGACCGAACCCTCAACTCAGGCATGTGTCCTGGCCAGGAATTGAACCAGTGATCTTTTGCTTTGCATGACAACACCCAACCGTGCCATGCTGGTCAGGGCCCCAGGTTGTATTCTTACAAAACTTTATTTCTAAATGAAATGCCTTATTGGAACATCACATTACTAAAATGTTTAGCTGGTGAAGACCTTGCATTTCAATAGTTAATTAGCATTCTAAATGATATAAACATAGCCATTAAAAAATCCCTTTTATAGTGATGTAGAAAAGTGCTGAGATATGATTTCCATACATGAGCATATCTAGATAGGAAGCTTGATATGTCTTAAAATTTTTTTAAGTTAAAAAAGTTCAGCTCTGGCCAGTGTGGCTCAGTTGGCTGGAGTGTTATCCTGTACATCAAAGGGGTGCAGGTTTGGTTCTAGTCAAGGCACATGCCTGGGCTGTGGGTTTGGTTCCTGGTTGGGGCACGTGGGAAAGGCACCCAGTCGATGTTCTTCTCTCACATCAAGTTTCTCTCCCTCTTGCTTTCTCCCTCCCTCCCCTCCTCTCTAAAATCTATAAGCATGTCCTCAGGTGAGGATAAAAAAAAGGGTTTATTTCCTGATTACAAAATTTATTTCATTGTTGAAAACTTAAGAAAACATTAAGAAGAAAATAAAATGATCTATAATGCTTCCATAGATAGATAAGCAGCATTAACATTTTGGCAAATACCCTAATTACTTTTATATATATTTCTAATATATTACAGAAGTGGGATCATATTGAACATCAATTTTACAACTTACTTGCTCCACTTATTACATATCTGCTTGTAGTTAACTCCTTGAACAATGTCCCAGAAGTAGGCAAGTTTGGTCTACAGTGTGTGTGGGGGCGTGTGTGTATGACAAAAAGAATGCATTTAAAAAAAGATTTTTATTTATTTATTTTCAGAGAGAGGGGAAAGGAGGGAGACAGAGAGGGAGAGAAACATCAATGCATGGTTGCTTCTTGCACACCCCCTACTGGGGACCTGGCCCACAATCCAGGCATGTGCCCGGACTGGGAATTGAACCAGCAACCCTTTGGTTGCAGGCTGGCACTCAATGTACTGAGCCATACCAGCCAGGGCAGAATGCATTTTTAATAAGCTCAGAAAAAGTTCTGATTTATTTTAAGGGTAAATCTTAGAGGAGTGGGATATTCTTATCTATGTTTACATGCAAATCTTTAAAGAAAGGATTCCTGCCTGTATTTGGGAAATGCTAACAATCTGTTGATTTCTCCAGTACATAAGGAAGGTATATAAACTAAACAAGACTTCCATAACCAAAATGTTAGGTACCATCCTAAAAAGAATAAAATGCTTATCATTTTCTATAAAGAAGTCATATTGGAGTAGTAATCAGAAGACCTAAAGATTCCTACCTAGTTCTTCCATAAACCATCTGTATGACCTTTGGCAAGTTAGTGATAGATTATTTCCCTTACCGTTGATGGGTTCATAGATCTATACATACAACATATCTGGTAGTCTCAGCTGAGCTCCCTGACATCCCATCAAGTATATGAAAATAAACATTTTAAGTGCAATATACATACGGAAATGTGTAAAAACCACAGGTGTACAGCTTGATGAACTTTCACATAGTGAACACAATCGTGTCATTAGAACCTGATCAAGAAACAGAACCTACTGGTATAACCACTTTAAAGGACATTTCATATATGGCCTCTCAGACTGTATAAATTTTAATTTAAATAATCATACTTTTGTAGGGCAACCCCTTTCCTACTCAAAAACCTACAAGAATGGTTTAATGCTTACTGTGATCTTCTGCCTAATTTACAATGGCCTGACCCTGGTTCATCTACCCAGCCCTGCTTCCTGGTACTGCACAGTATACAACTTCAGATCCTGAGAGCTCTCATTCCAGCTGTTCGCATCTGTCATGCTCATTCCTTGCACTTATCTTTATTCCTACTATATTCACTATCTGAAACCCACACTCAGTCCATCCAAACCACTTCCTTGGCACCTGTCCCATGAAGCTTTCTCTGTCTAGTTCATTCATCTTGAACTCTGTCTTCTTAGAATCTTTATTGTCTGTATAGCTAGTACTACATGTTTTAAGAGATGTAACCGTTCTGTAATTCATGTTTGCTAACTCTGCCTCCATAGTCTCACTGCAAACTCATGTTTTACTCCCCTTTATTATTTCCAGTGGCCAGGACAACATATGTGCTCAGTCAGTATATGCTGCCCAGACAAAGTGCCCATGACCCTGGTCATTCAAGGCTCCATGCGTGGTTCCGGGGGCTCTGGCTGCAACGGCTGCTGGGGCTGTGTCCCATGGAGACTTGCACCCCTCTTGGGTGTTGGCTGCAAAGAGTGCCAGTTCCTGGTTAGAAATTTCATGTAAATGGAATCCTATAGTGTGCAACCTTTTGAATTACATACTAGGGTTGGCTGCTGAGCATCATCCCAAATTGTTGTGTGGATCAATAGTTTGTCCCTTTTTTATTGTTTTCTATCTTAACTGCAGAACTGGGATTTTCCTGTAGATAGTCCTATATTCTGGATTTGGTAGATTGCTTCCCCCAGGTATCATTTAACTTAATGTTATGTCTACTGTGTTTCTTGTAAACTGGTAGGATCTAGGTTCTGGATCCTAGAGGGTTCATTAGATTTAGGTTTGATGTAGTTAGCAAGAAAAATTAAAGGTGATGGTGTAGTTAACAATTAATTAACCAAGTAAATGGCATTTATTATTTTTCATAAAAATCACCTACACATAGGAAAAGTCTAATTAGAGCTTTTAATTTTAACGAGATAAACAGGGTTATTATAAAATAAAATTACAGTCAAAATTAATGAAGCTTGATATTTATTAGTCTGTATAATCTTTAAAAATTTTTATTTATTTATTTATCTTTAGAGGGGAAGGGAAGGAGAGAGGGAGAGAAATATCAATGTATGGTTGCCTCTCATGTGTCCCCTGCTGGGAACTAGCCTGCAACCCAGGCATGTGCCCTGACTGGGAATTGAACCATAATTCTTTGGTTCGCAGGCTTGAGCTCAATCCACTGAGCTACACCAGCCAGGGCTTAGTCTGTATAATCTTATTGTGGGATAATACTATTTCTATTAGGGTTTGGGATCCTCAGTACCTTGGCTGCAGACTACAGATCTGAAATTTCTCTCCCTCTTTAGATATGAAAAAGCCTGCTATGGACTGAACTGTGTCTTCCCAAAATTCCTATGTTGAAGACCTAATCCCTAATGAGACTGTCCCTTTGGAGACAGCGCTTTAGGAGGTCATTAAGGTTAAATGAGGTAAGGGTGGGGTCCTAACACACTATTTTTGGTGGCCTTATAAGAAGAGGAAGAGAGAGAGAGATCACTCTCTTGAACTCTGTGAGGAAGTACTGAGGAAAGGCCATGTGGAGACACACAGAGAAGGTGACTGTCTGCAAGTCAGGGAGAGTCCTCACCAGAAACTGATCATGCTGGCCCCGTGACTACAGATCTGTAGCCTCCAAATTGTGAGAGAATAAATTTTGTTTTTTTAAACTACCCAGTCTATTTGATATGGCAGCCCAAGTTGACTAATACAGTGCCTGAGTAAAAATACCTGCTGAACATAATTCAGTTATCTATGAACATCAGGAATTTTTATGTTCAAAACTCCTGCATAGAGGATACCATGACAAAACCATGTGGCACAAATCTTTTTGGCTTATGCCCTTCAGGGAGCGTATCTTAAATTAACCAAGCTTGGCAGAACCTGTCCTTTTTTTTTTTTAAACCATTAACACCTTGGCAGTAGGAGGAAGTGAGTGCAATGTTGCCAGGCCTTTTCAGTGACAGATATTAAGTGCTGATGAATGTTGTGAAATTCTAAATGTTAGCACCAAGAAGCTCGTTCAAGTATTTATATTACACTAGGCCAGGAAGGGCCATGAAAGATGGATGACTGCTTAGAAAAATACACGTGGCAGGGACTCAGTGTGGATTCTCTGCTACTGGACTACTAGAATCCTGTGGGATGAACAGTTAAAAACCTACTCAATTCCCTTAAACTGGGGCAACAAAATTACCTACAGAAAATCCCTATTTCAGTCTACAGAAGAAAAGGCTTATAAATGCCTTCTGCACATTTATATGTTAATAGGAACACTGATTATTGAAAAACCTTATGTCAGGCGTGGTTCTAAGTATTTTACATATACACACACAGATATAATCCCATTTTAATAGTAAACTCAACCCCATGGGGAGGGATTATTTTCATTCTACAGACAAAGGCCATAACAATTATCCAATTTGTCTGATTCTAAATCAGTACTTACTATTTTAATGTTGTAATACTTCCTCATTAAAAAACACAGCCATTGCTGAATTCAGTCTGTAGGAAAAATCAGTTTTCTCATGCTTAATTTTCTTACCACAAGCCTCAGTGCTGAATGCTTAAAGGTCATGCTCAAGTGTTGTTCTAATGAGCACTGTTATTGACTGCATGGGCATCAGTTGTCACCAAAGACAACGAGCAACTATGTAACATGGTCATAGACATGTAAGCCCCCAGTTAACTAGACATGGGGGACTAGAAACAACTAGTATGCTCTGAACAAAGAAATTCTAGTAGGAAACTAAAAACTGAAAGCTTATCTTAAGGGTTGAATCAAAATATAAGGGAAATAATTTCGACTTAAATGAGATTAATTTACAATTGTACAGCTGTGTAATTTTAAAAGTTATATATGTTGTTCACACATAGATCATACATATGTTAATCACAGCCATAAATCT